GGATCGCTGAGTTCTAGACCAGCATGGGCTACATAAGGAAGTTCAAAGCCAGCCTAGACTACATAGACCTAGCTTAAACAAACAAAAAGACATTGATTGCGATCATCTGACTTCAAAAATGGCCAATCCAGTGCTTTATTTCTAAACCTTAAAGCTCCAGTGGCGCAATCGATTAGCGCGCGGTACTTATATTTCTAAACCTCACAGATGGGTTATAGGAGACCCATCTTGGGGCAGTGCGCTTCCAAAAAGATAGGGGTTAAGATCTGATTTAAGGGGACAGGGGAGATAGCTCAGTGGAATAAGCGCTTCCCTGGCAAGCACAAGAGCCTGAGTTCAATCCCCGGCTCCGCAAAAAAAAAAAATCTGGTTTAAGCCGTTGTCTGTGCACTGCTTTCATCATAAAGTCACTTTTGGTTTCATTGCCTGATGGTTAGCTGTTTCCTCTATTCTGTTAAACCCCAGACTCTTCCATTGCGCGAGTGTACTAACAAAAGGTCTCCGGATTAGTTCTTCACCACCGGAGAGAAACTTCCGGGTTAACAACCCGGCTAAGCACGAGCCGGGGGTGGGGAGTAGGGGGTGGGGAGTAGGGGGTGGGGGTACCCGCACAGCCTTGTGGGTGCATAGTTCACGCCAGAGCGCTATCTTTTTGTCAGTCCCAAACGTGGACTACGATTTCCGTGGAGCTCTGCGTCCAGCCGATGGGCCCTAATCTGTGCGCGCAGCCCCCTGGGAATAATAGTTTCGCCGAGCGGACGCAGATCTGAACCGGGCAGCCGGGTACTCGCCTTCCCAGCGACCCGCTTGGCAGGGCGGGGCGCCTCGCGAAGATGGTGGCGCGCGCGGCGTGTGGCTCCCTACGCCTGGCCAAGTCTCAGCGCCGAGCACTGACCAGCGCTTCGCTGGCCTGGAGTCCTCGTCCTCCCGGGCCCTGACCTTGCGCCCCCGCGCCCCCGCGCCCCCGCGCCCGGGTCCCGGCATGCCTCGCGCTCGTAGTAAGGGCAACGCGCCCCGCAAGGGCGGCCAGCGCCGAGGAGCAGGTGAGTGGGGGCGCGGGGCAGCTCCTCTGCAGCGAGCAGGGGTCCTGTGTAGGTCCACTGCTGTGTCCCAGAGTGTCGGGGCGTGGGGAAGCTCCCATCGGCCAGCCCGGCGCAGTCTAGCGAAACTGCGGTAGCCAGCACGTGCTCTCGCCGGCATTGGCCACGTGTGCACCCAACTTGAGCAAGTTGCCGGCTGCTTGTGGGGCTTCCCAAACCAGAGGAATCCTCGCAGACCCAGAAGCGTGACCCGGCCAGCACGTCCGGGCTTCGGTTTCCCCATTGCTACTCTACTCCAGTGGCTTAATACAGTGGAAAAACCACTGGACAGGATAGGAAATAAGGAGGCCGGGGAGATGGCTCAGTAGAATAAGCGCTTCCCTGGCAAGCGCAAGGGCCTGAGTTCAATCCCCGGTTCCAGGAAAAAAAAAAAAAAAAAAAAGGATAGGAAATCAGACCCCTTGCCGAGACCTTTGGTAGACTAGATGGGGAAGTTGTCAGAGGCCTCTCTGCTGGGAAGAACGATGAAGATGTGAAATCGGGAAGGTACAGAATTGGGGCCTTGGTACTTGTGGATTTGGGGATTGGATTAATATCCTAGAACCAGGTGCCAAGGAAATAGCTCAGTACAATAAAAGTTTGCCGGGTAAGCGCAGGGGCCTAAATTCAATCCCTGGTTCTGCAAAAACAAAACAATATCTTAGAGCCTGAGGCAGTCTTGGTACTCTGTTATCAGTCCCAACCAGGAGCCTGTATTTTTGCAGTAAGCATGTTTGCTCTGCTGGGATAGCATGTTTGCTCTGAGGGCCAAGCACAACTTCGCCCTAATGCTGTCTAGGGGCAGGGTGACATAGGGTAATGACAGCACAATAGAGACTGGTCCTGAAACTGTTCACAGCGTGGTGTTAGCCCCATACTCAAACCTAGGAGACCCCATGGGAAGGGTGTCTGGGTGAGAAGAGAACCATATGCAAAGAACATGTGGAAAAGCCAGGTAGCTGCACCAGAAGGGACCTAACCCTGGACCAAGAGAGGGGACGCTCAGCAGCATTAGCAGGTAGGATAGTAAAAGAGAAAGTGAGCAGGGGCCATTGTGCTGGCTAGACTTTTTCCTGCAGGCAAGAAGTGTAAGTTCTTGAGAGGTCAGGCTGGCCAGGTAATGAGAAACTGTCGAGGGCTTCACCATAGTAGCCATGCTTGCCAGAGTTCACCCCTAGCCCTGGATAGCACCCACACACCAGAGTACTCTGGCCCTAAATCCCTGAAACTTCCCTGTGTTTTTAGGGGCTCACATGGTCAGAGCCTCTTCAGGGTCAGAAGAAACCTGTTTGTCTGTCTCCCCAGAGCTGACAGCCTTAAATGGATCAGGGGAAGCTGAGAAGACAATGTACTTAAAATACGGGGTTCCCAGCATACCCATTGGGAACTGGGCTTCTGTCCCAAGGGCTGACAGGTGGCTTGATGAGTTTGTTGGCCTGAAATAAAGCCATAACAAGTTATATGTCTTCACTTGCTGCCCCTGAAAGAGGTGCTTTTCCATCTCTGCTTTGCATATAAAGAGACAGAGGCCTCAGCCTGGTGAGATAGTGCACATCTGTAATCCCAGCACTCGGGAGGCTGAGGCAGGAAAATTGCGACATGTTCAAGGCCAGCCTGTTAAAATGTGGAATGGAGACTGAGATGGAGGTAGTCCAGTGGTAGAGTGCTCATGAGAGCCCCTGGCTTTGATATCCAGTGCTAGGAAAAAATTGTAATGTTGGGTTAAAAAATGTAGAGTTGGGATTCTTAAATCCCACATCTGCTGAACTCTATAGCTGTTTCTGATCCTTGCATTATCTGTTTTGGGGTATAATGCAGGCCAGGCTACAAATCTGGTAGAACAACTTCAGCCTTTCCCTTCTACCTTTTTTCCCCTTCCTACCTCTACTAGTTCCCAGTCTCCTACTTAAAATAGTTTCTGGCCTTAGGCACTGCCCACCAAACCTGCCAGATATTCCTAGGCCAAGCCTAGAACCTAACAAATGCTTTCCTACAAATGGACCTTCCCATTTTCTTGCTTTCTGGCCCAGGGCCCCGCATCAGTCACTGTAGTGCCTACTTCAGCTTTGGTTTTCTCCCTCTGAGAAGGGGCAACATTTTCTTTGGTGGAGTTGTAAGGTTGAGTGGCATACTCCCAGCCATCCCTCGTCAATGGAAGCAAGCTGAGTAACTTAACATATACTCCCTAGGTGCTCGGTGCAGTGCCCAAGCTGACTCAGGTTCCAGTGAGGATGAAGCAGCCAGTGAGGCCCGCAGTACAACCAGCGAATGTCCCAGCCTTCTGAGCACCACAGCAGAGGATAGCCTAGGTAAGAGCAAGTAGCCATGTGGCAGGGATTCAATGAGGGCTCCATTGGGTGAGGGCAAGAAGCAGTGCTGATCTGCTGGCCTTGCAGGGGGGGATGCTGTGGATGAGCAGGGCCAACAGGAAGATCTCGAAGAAAAGCTAAAGGAATATGTGGACTGCCTCACAAACAAGAGGTACCCTTGGCTGCCAGCCTACTCCTATATCCAGGGCTTTGCTCAACCCATGCCAAGTATAACCAAGGGACAGCTGGCCCATGTGACCCTCCCTTCTCTACCCTTAGTGCCAAGACCCGGCAAGGAGCTCTGGAGAGCCTGCGCCTGGCCCTGGCTTCCCACCTGCTCCCTGACTTTTTGCTGGAACGCTGCCTCACACTGGCTGATGCCTTGGAAAAGTGCCTCAAGAAAGGTCGGGCCTTGGGGTTTGCGGAGGACCTTAACTGGGCAGGTGCTGACCCTCGCTACCTGGGCTGACTGGAAAGTGTCCTGCAGGGAAGGGTGAAGAACAGGCCCTGGCTGCTGCTGTGTTAGGTCTGCTCTGTGTGCAGCTGGGCCCTGGATCCAAAGGTGATGAGCTGTTCCACAGCCTGCAGCCGCTGCTAGTCTCTGTGCTCAGTGACAGCACAGCTAGCCCCACCGCCCGGCTTCACGTGAGTGTTTCTATGCCCCATGAAACCCTTCTACCTTATTTCAAGCAAAGTGGTGGGTTATCCCTGCTTTCAGGTTCCATACCCTGGTGGTGGTGGTGGGGGGAACCCTGTGGCTGGGAACCCAGGCTGACCTCTGATCATGGCCTAGCCTTGTCCTTTCAACAGTGTGCTTCTACTCTCGGCCTGGGGTGCTATGTGGCTGCTGCCGATGTCCAGGTGAGTGGTCTTTGGACACAGACAGTGGAGCACCTAGGCCCCTAGCTTTGTCCCTGAGCCATTCCCCTGTCCCCCCTGTGCTCTTAGGACCTGGTCTCTTGCCTTGCCTGCTTAGAAAGTGTTTTCAGCCAGTCCTGTGGCACAGATGGCTCCACAGCTCCTATGGTCCCTGCCAGCCTGCATGGCCTGCTCTGTGCTGCCCTACAGGCCTGGGCATTGTTGCTTACTATCTGCCCCAGCACCCACATCTGCCACGTCCTTGACAGGTGAGGGTAGATGCCCACTGGGAGTGGGAGGTGATCATGAAGGGACCCCTAACCCACACACGTAGCTTAGCCTGCCCCTTCTCCAGGCAACTGTCCCAGCTGCCCCACCTCTTGTCCAGTGAAAGTGTGAACCTGCGGATTGCTGCTGGTGAAACCATCGCATTGCTCTTTGAGCTCGCCCGGGACCTTGAGGTGCAAGGATGGTAGGGGGGTGCCCGCTGGTGCTACTGCCCATCCTAGGCTGGACACAGAGAGAGCATGCCATAGCACACAAAGCTGTCGTAGGTCATTTTGTAGCAGTGGTGGCTTCAACACTGACTCATGCGGTAGATGTTATGATGGGGTCCCTGAGCAGAGATGTCCTGTACAGGTGGAGGCCAAAGAGGTTATGAGAGAAGCCAAACAGAGAAGAGGAGGGCTATTAGGAAAGGAAGGCTTTGAGCAACCCCATGTTGAGAGCCACCAGTGCTTAAGCTTCTGCCTCTTGCCTTCATTGCTCCCACACAGGAGGACTTTGTTTACGAGGACATGGAAGCCCTCTGTGGTGCTTTGCGCACTCTAGCCACGGACAGCAATAAGTACCGTGCCAAAGCTGACCGCCGGCGCCAGCGCTCTATTTTCCGTGCTGTGCTGCATTTTGTTGAGGTAGGGGTGTGTGTGTGTGTGTGTGTGTGTGTGTGTGAACGAACATGTTTATCCTAGCAGGAATCCAGCCCCAGGCATAACAGCCAAGCACAACTGTGGGCCTCTGCTATCCTGCAGGGTGGTGAATGTGAGGAAGAGACAATCCGCTTTGGACTGGAAATGCTGTATGTAGACAGCTGGGCTCGGCACCGGATCTATGCTGCCTTCAAGGATGTGCTGGGTTCAGGCATGCACCACCACCTGCAGGTGAGGGGATGGGCAGGGAGAGCTCCCCAGTTTGGCTGCTGTGGCGTGGACTCAGTTAACTGTCTTCTCTCTCCCCAGAATAATGAGCTTCTCCGTGACATCTTTGGCTTGGGCCCTGTGCTGGTGCTGGATGCCACTGCTTTGAAAGCCTGTAAAGTTTCACGTTTTGAGAAGGTTTGCATCCTAGAATACCTTTGTTTCTCTTCCATTCCCATTTTCTGGAGGCTTCCAGCTCTATAAGGGCTGAGGGAAGAGCCCTGGGCTTTCTTCCCAGTTCACTATAGATTCCACCCTTTTCTCCACCCAGCACCTGTACAATGCTGCTTCCTTCAAAGCCCGAACCAAGGCTCGAAGCCGTGTGCGGGACAAGCGGGCAGATATCCTGTGAAATGGACCAGCTGAAGACAAGACTATTCACGCCCTTGCCTGTATTTTTAACAGAAGACTGTGCAAGAACTGGTTTCTGCCAGTGATTGTCACTTTATTTTAAAGACAAAACCAAAAATAGATAGGATGGGTGAGTAGGATAAGGGACCCGGCCCTCTATCCTTGCACTCAGCCCTGTGGCTTATTCGTGCCCTATCTCAGGCAGGGCCAAATGAGTGCCTGTCTCAGGGCTATGGGAAAAGCAGTAGGGGGCTGTCCCTTTGCTTTCTTAGGCCTTGCTCCTTTGGGGTAACCCAGTTCTTCAGGGTATCATTAGCTGGATAGATACCACCATGGCAAGTGTTGAGGCAAAGCTACCCGGCAATGATTTTTGTGATTTTTAAAGATTATAAAAGATAATTAAATAGAATATAATGTTCTGCCTCTGTGGTCCTGACTGCTGGATATTTCTGCTCATACTCCCATCCAGGACACCAGGCTTGGGCACACTGGGATCTCACCTCTGCCCTCTTAAGTAGTGTGCCCAGGCTAGGGTGGGGCCTCCCCAACTCAGAGCCCAGCTTATCTTTGAGACCTGAGGCTGGACTCTTGCTGAGAGATCTGGCAGAGTAGGTGGCTGCAGTGAGGCAGCTATTTCTAGACTTACCCTGCTAGTTAGGGTTGCCCAGAGGATGCTGACAGGCCACAAGAGGAGCCAGGAGGCTGGTGCCCCATCCTTTGACCTTGGGCCAGCTCATAAGAGCCTACTTAATACCAGAAGGCTTGTCTAGGCCATGCCTGAAAAGATCAGGAGAAGTAGGTGACAGTGAAGTCACATCAGTCTCTTCTACAAAAATCTCAACAAGGACGTGGTGTAGACCAGTGGTGGGAGGAGAGACTGCCAACAGCTGCTTTATTCCCCTCACCCACTACGTCCCAGTTCAAGTAGAGTTTCAGCTGGGTGCTCGAGCTTCACTGGAGTTCAACCTCCGCAGCTGACTGAGGCTGGCCAGTCGGAGCTTGAGCAGCATCTCCTCCTGGGTGCGTAGCGTATGTGCCAGGACCCGCAGGGATTCACTCTGCAGCACTGGGGATGGGCAGATGTTTGTGTGATCTTGTTAGATCATGTGCTACCTCAGACATCCACAACCCAGCAACAGGCTGCCCTCTGACCCCCACCCTTCACTACTGCAGCAACTGCTCCTTCCAAAGGGCCTCCCAGTTGGTCCCCACCTGCCCTGCCTTGCCCTACCACTCAAGTAGACAGCCAGGATGGCGAGTGCCAGGCAGGTGAGCACTAGCAGTACCAGCAGCAGCAGGAACCCGCTACGGCCGCACATTGTACCACAGCCAGCCTGGGCACACAGCGACGGTGGCAAGACACCCAGCAACTCATCCCATGGCTGTGCTTCTTCAGCCAGATACGGGCGTGTCAAGCCTGTGGAGTAGTGGGGACATTAGGGGAAGCAGGCTTTTCCCCTCTTCGCAGTACATCCTTTTGCATCCCCTCACCTTCACTGTGTAGGTCGCTGATGGATTCCACTCGGTGTAGCCGCACTTCAGGCACGTGGCTAGGGGCCAGCGGTCCCCTGGTTTTCTGGCTCTGTGTTGGTGCCACAGTGTCTGCAGAGGTGTAGGGCTCATTCAGCAGGCAGGTCACCCCTCCTTGCTCCCAGGTAGTCTCAGGTAGTAGGGATTTAGGGAGATTGGGGTACAGCGGGGCTTTTGTAGAAAATTCCCCTACCACCCCGAGGCTGCCTGGACACTTCGGTTATTTCCAGTTCCCTTTGGAAATTAGCGCCAAGGGCATCCATCATTGAGTATGAAGTTTTTCACAATTTCTCAGCAATCATTAGGGACAGTTTTAAGAAATGGAATTCTTGATCCAAAAGCAGGGATAAAACTCATCAAATTGTTTGTGAGAAGTGTGTACACAACCTGTAGGTACAAAATCGCCACCATGAGGTATCCCCACTGAGAAATTTTTTTTCTGAGGGGGAAGCAGAGTCTTGGCTTGCCTTGAACTGGTAATTTTTATGCCTCACCAAGTGCTGGGATGAGAAACAGTTTATATTCACACATTTGTATATGTACTTGCTAATTCAAGAAATTAAAAGCTTTTTAGTGAAACATTTGTTTTTGGCTTTTTTCCTTTTTTTGAGAGAAAGTTGCACTTTGTTGTGCAGGCTGTTCGTGAACTCATGGTGATCCTCTTGCCTCAGCCTCCCAAGTGCTGGGCTTACAAATGTGCAACACCATGTCTGGCTGGCCCTGGGGAGGTCCATTCCCAGCACTTTTTTTTTTTTTTTTTTCATTTTTGACACATGGTCTCAGTAAGTTGCACAGGCTGGCCTTGAACTTGGCAATCTTCCTGCCCAATCCTCCAGAGTACTTGAATTTACAGATGTGCCCCACTGTGCTGTCAAAATAACCTTTCCTTTTTTTTTTTTGAGAAACCAGGGATTGAATTCAGACCCTTGCACTTGCCAGGGAAGCACTTATTCCACTGAGCTATCTTCCTGGCCCCCAACCTTTCCTTATTGATTGATTTAGTTTAGTTGCCTAGGAAGCTTGTTTACAGCCTTCCAAGAGCTGGGATTACAGGTGTGTGCCACCATGCCCATTCTCAGTTGCCATCTCAGTACGCCCTGGGGACCCCCAGCCTGTGCCTGCTTGCAGGCGCTTTAATTTGCTCAGCTATTTAACCAGCCCTGTTTTTGTGTTTCTGAGACAGGATCTCCCTTTTCAGCTTAGGCTGGCCTTGAGCTCACTTTGTAGCCCAGGCTGATCTTGGAATTTGCAGTGATCCTCCTGCCCCAGCCTCCCAAGTTCTGGGATTGCTGGTATCCACCACCACACCCAGTGCTTCATCAAAATATTTTACAGGCTGGGGAGATAGTTTGGAGATCTAAGTGCCTGCCTGGCAAGTGCAAGGACCCAGGTTTAATCCCTGGTACTGTGTGCCATACCAGACACTACCAAGCTGGCCACCAAAAGTGTGGTGGGGCATGCCTGTAATTTCAGCACTGGGGAGGCTGAGGAGAATCACAAGTCTGAGCTGCATAGCAAGACCCTGTACCAAATAAGTTAAAAA